CCGGTTTTCGTCGACCTGAAGATGCTCATTCGAAGCATGAAGTACGCCACGACTTTCTGCTGCTTCTGACTCCGACTTCGACCATTTCTGCTGCTCTCTTTCTCTCCACCATTGTCTCTGCTCGCACTAGTTCCATGCCCGACGCCTCTACTGCACGCTGTAAGCCTACGAAAGCCAACCTGGAGGCCAAGCGCGAAGCTCAAGCTCGTTACAGAGCGCGGTAAGAACATCTTATATTCGCCAGCCAACTCGATTCCGACGCGTCCTCGTTGGACAGACACAAGGAGGAGCTACGGCGCAAGGCTCGCGAAAGCATGGCGCGACTCAGGGCAAATCTCAGCCCGCACGACTGCGCGCGGTATCGAAAGACGGCGCGCGAGGATGGGGCCCGCTACCGTGCCGATAACAGGGCACTGCTGGCGCAGAAGGAGGTTCTGCGCCGTGCCAGGTGCGTGTCCACTTACTGCCACCACTAACTCAGCTCAATACCTTGCAGGAAATCCATACCGAGGATCGGTTACGACGAATGGTGCGCCAAGTATGAAAAACGGCACAAGCGCCCCGTCCCCGTTGCCCTGCAAGCGCAGTTGGGTCCGCCAATGCCCTCGGAGGCCGATTCTCCAGTGTTTTTTGGCCCGACGACCCCCTCCATCCATTCGCGTTCGACCACAGCCCCAACGACGACCTCCGTTCGGTCGCGTTCGACCGAAGACGCGCCCACTGTCCCCACCCCGCCGGCTGCCCCCACCCCGCCACGTTTAGCACCAAGCTGGCGCCGCGGTTACGCCGGCTGCCCAGGAATGTGGGACGTCGGTCCTCCACCACCCGGCTGGGCGAATCACCCGTTACAGGTGCGTTTCACCCCCCTAGGCGTGTTCCCAGCGCTGAGTTGGACTCCATTAACAGCCGACGAAAGTGAGGGTCTCGAGCCTGCCCCCGAGCAGCCCCCCAAGCTCCAGCAGCGGATGGTCGGAGGACAGAGACGCGGCCCTCGACATGCGCAACGCGGCGTTGGTCGAGGTCGAGGACAGTCGGCGCCGAGAGGATGCTCGCAGAAAGGTAAACGCTTGGCTGCCCAAGACAAAAGTGAGATAGGCGAATCCGCACCATGTATCTGGACGAGGCAAAATTCCACTGAGGCTTTTTCTTCTTTCTCTCGAGACAGAACTGAATGCGATTGGACAAGCAAGTGAAATTCAAGAGGAGGTACGTATATCAAAATTTACAACCCTCTCAGCCGACCTTCTCCCCTCAACGGCTGGGAGCGAATTCAGCAAACGGCGGCACGCAATGGGGCGCAGACAACCCACCTCTAATCTTCTTCGTCGTCGCCGTCGTCTTCGTCGTCGCCGTCGAACCAGGTTTCCTGCGTCAGTGTGGTCGTGACCCAGCGGCGAAGGCGCTCTTGCTGGCGGGCGAGCCGACGCCCATGACGCAGCTTTTTCAGTGTGCAGTCGCACCGCGCCATCTTGTCACGCAGGCCGCGGCACGCGGCGTCGTGCGGAGGGAGTGGAGGGAGCGTGGATGTGCTGGCGGTGCTGGCGGCAATGGCGGCGGCTTCGTCCAACGCTTGGAAGCGCGAGATGACGGCCGCGGGGCTCAAGCTGTACTCAGCCAGTATAGCTTTCTTCTCTTCGAGATCACGCTCGCTGCTTCCGCCGCTGCTGCTGGAGCTTGTGCTGTAGTACTCCGACTCCGACTCCTCTTCCTCGCCTGACAGGGAGACCAAGACGCGCCGGCAGTTGTCGAGGTTCGCCGTGGCGCGGGTGCGGGAGCGCGGGCTGCATCCGCGGAGTTTTTGGGCTGCTTCACGGAAGGCGCGGCGTGCGTTGAGGCGTAGTTCCTCCAGAGTCTGCTCGTCGCGTTGCTCCTCGTCGCGGAGCTGCTGTTCTCTGCGCTCTGGTGAGGGAGGCGACGCCGTGGCAGGACGCGGGGACTTACTCTGACTCCGACATGGGGCGATGTGGTGAAGACGTGGAGAGCGAGAGCGACTGAGATGGTGGTGGGGAAAAGGAGGAAGGATATGGAGCGGCGCCACATATGCCTTCGTGCTTCTCCCGTCAAATAACTTATTTGTTGGCTTAATTGTCTTATTTTCCGCTCCGCGCTTCTCCCTCCCTGTCAAATCAGACACAACGAACATGTAGCAATGCATAATCAAGATAGTTACAACAGAGATATAGAAAAATATCAAGTTAGACACAACGAACATGTAGCAATGCATAATCAAGAAAGTTACAACAAAGATACAGAAAAATATCAAGAAGTCCGTAATCGTCACAAGAAAAAAAGTCCGTGTAGGTCTACTGCTCGTCAACGTCGATCACGGTGCGCTCCCCGTCCGCCCCGATTTCTGCAACCTGGCGGCTGCTCACTACAATGAAGGAGCTTGTGCCGGGGCCGATGTCGGCGCATTGATTGTGCGGGCGATGGGCGACGTGCGCGTGCACGGTCCGAACCTTATTGCAGTCATGGCAGGCAACCATGCCAGCCATCACGGCGCGATAAACGTCGTCGGGAAGCCCGAGGACGGTGTCGAGGGCGCGAACCGCGATACCGAGCGCAGTGAGGAGCGTGAACTCGGCGTATACGGCCGTGGCGGGGCGGTTGGGACGAGGACCGACGGGGAAGGGCTGCGGCTCGAGGATTCTGCCATACGCTTGCGTACCGACGGGCGAGGCTGGATGTGACGGTGTAAATCAAGGTAGGAAAGAGAGAGACGGAAAGAACGCACTGATGCGCAAGGAGGGAACATTTCCACACCGATGGAAGTTGCCGTCCCTGGCGAGGTGCTGGTTGAGGGCCGGGGCGGTGAAGCGAAGTGAGCAGACGGGGCAGACGCGAAGATCGGTTAGGAAGTGAATATAGGTGGCGCTCGGGACCCCTTCGGTTGTCCCAAGGCGCATCAAAAACCTGGTGATAGAAGCGGGGCCGACGGGTCCCTCGGCGGCGAGGCGATTCGCGAGTCTTTCGCCGGAGCAATAAGGGAACAGGCGAGCAGGGAAATCGACGTCAAGGTAAACCGACGTGTTGGGTCCCTCGCGGAGCCAGAAGTGCCCGCCGTACTCCTCTACGAACGATCAGATTGGGGTCAAAGGGGAAGAAGGGACCGACGTACTCGTGTCTTGTTGGTTCGTAACTTGGGCGAGGAGCACTTGCATCAGAGGGGCGTCTTCGACGCGGTTCGCGTCCGCCTCAGCGTGGTTATACCGAGGGAGCTCCGGATGGGCGCTGAGGAACGCGGCGGAGGGGGCTGGGGGCGTGGGGTGATACAAGGGCGCGGCGCCATCGTCGTCGTCAGCAAGATTGATGACGAGGCGGGGCAGGGGTTGGGAGGGGCCGGCAACAGCGTTCCTGCCAACGCCGCGGGGACCAAGACCCTGTTTTTGTGTGGAATACTGGTAAGGCTTGTGGCGGCGCTGGTCTCGAGACGCGGGGCGGTAGCAGTCGAGCGGCGTCGAGGAAAAGAGGGGCTCGTCCTTGAACTCGTTTTTGATTACGCGGCGGCCTCCAGACGACGGAGTCGCGGGGGGGTAGCGGTCGAGGGGGGTCAAGGAAAAGAAGGGCTCGTCCTCGGCCTTGACCTCGTTCTTGACCTCGTTCTTGATGGTGGGCTTTGCGTCGATGAGTGAGCGCGGCTGGCGATCGCGCAGGACGACTGGAGGGACCATAAGCGGTCAGCAAAGGAAAATAAAGGAAAGGGAAGGGCAACGCACAGATGAAAGGGCAGGGATGAAATTGTGGGTCGACTTGTAAGTAGTAGGTCGCTATGCCGTCGCGCGTAACTTGGTGCGGGGTCATCCGGCACTCGACTGCAGTTCGGTCTGGGTTCCCGAAATGCGGACATTCGGGGAGGAGCGAGTGAGGGACGTAGCGAAAACCCGAGGGCGCCCGGAATTTTTCTTCCCGTGTCGTCGTGCTAGAAGGACTACAGTTGGAAGGACAAGGTCAATGGGACGAGGGGTGAAAGGTTAAGAAAGACGAAGACTTACTACGCGCAAGGGATAAATTCCATGCGTTGCCGGTCCCAAGTGTACAGGCATTGGTTTCGATTGGCGGAAGCGACGAGTCGCTGGGCGGCGTTCAATACAGCGGGGGCGGGGTCATGGGCCTCGATAGTTGCAAAGGTTGTCTTGGGGCGTTCGGTGTGGATGTGGAGGGGGCCGTCATCGACCGCGTTGCTGAGCCAGATAGCATTCTGCTCGGCAAGAGCTTGGGCGCTGGGTTGCGGGGCGCGAGCGAGCTTCTTCTTGGCCATGAGTGAGGGGAAGAGTGGGGTGCGGAGTCGGAAGATTGGGCAAAAGGGACGACTGGAAACGACTGGAAACGAGTTGATAAAGGGCGAGGTTTTTTTTGAAGTCCCAGCGGCGCTTTGACGCGTCCGCGGGCTTCAACCAGTCCCGTGTTGCTCTCGGCGGTGACGGCGACCTTCAAATTCACATTGAAAACGGCGAAGACGCGTCGAAGCCCCCTGGAGGAAGCGTCGTGGGGAGTTGACCATCCAACCGCGTCGCTAGATCAAAGAAGGCGTGGTGGTTGGCTGAGTCCAGAGCGTGTGGTGGTTGGCGTACGACGTCAGCCGTGGCGACGAGAGAAGGCACGGGGCCGAGGGCGCGACAGCGGTGGACAAGTGTTCGAGAAACGAGGCAGGAAATGAACAGCAAAAGGTAACAGAAGCGCTGTGACAGCATAACGCGGAAAGTCCCGAGGAAATGATCCCATCGCATGAGCACGAGATCCGTGTTCGGACGGAATCGGAAGGGGTCTAGGTCTGTGGTCCACGGAATTTTAATTTGGGCCCCGGAGAACCCCGAAACGTAAGAATTACATAATAGTCAACTTCCTTTTGTACGTTTTGGAACCTCACCGCCGCCGCTCTTCTTCAATCAAGAACCGCTGTCGGGCATAATCAACCATCGACTCGTCCAAGCGAGTGCGCTAATCGCTGTACTTAAGTAAGTTGCGACAAGAAAAACAAAAACGAAGATGTCTATGAGACAAGCCCTCGATGGGAGTCGAACCCACGTTGCCCTCTGTATATACAAAGTAAGGGGAGATCTACCACCTGATCTACGAAGGCGTTACCAGAAATGAACTTGATTTTCCCAAGACCGTAGGAGACCAAGACAAGTCGCTACTGCACCGTGAGCGACGCTCAAATTTCAATCACGCAGACGGACCCAAACTTCCTGGGAGCGAAATATTACGCTGACCAGTGACGAGTGTGATTTAACCCGTCGATGCGAAAGGCTCGGGCTAGGCTAATTCGCCGCGTCCGCCGCTTTGGCGCCGCGGCGCGCCGCGTCACTTCGTAGCACCGCCGCGACCCAATACCACATCGCCGCGTCGCCGCGTGAGGTCGCCGCGTGGATGTTATCCATCGCCGCACACTGCCGCGGCACAATTTCTACCACCACTGTCTCACATTACCGACGCGCCCGTCGCCCATTACCGCGGCGCCCGTCGCCGGGCACAACAGATTTCAACCAATGTTCAAACAGATAGGACCGCCGCCGCCCAAGCCGTATCAAATTAGTCCACAATGTATATACACCCCGATGTGTGGGTAGACTGGTTTCAGTTGCTCACTGTGCCTGTAGAGGGTGAACTGTCGTGTCTGGGCCCCCCCGAACTCCGCTCGCCATCATCGTACCCGCCGGTGCTAGATCCAGTTGCTACTATTTTGTCAGTCCGCGTTATTATTCCACTAATCATATACTTAACAGTTTCATTGCTCAGTTGAGCGCTTGTACGATATGAACCTTGCTCATCCCAACTTCCAATTTATCGCCACCTTCTCACGGTTCGATATCTGGCTCAACACTGGAGCTCGTTCTTGGCGGCATTCCTTATTCCGATTTCCTTAGTAGCTACTTAGCAGCGACGGATGAACAATTTCCGCGGCGGGTCAATTGCTTAAGAAATTGCAGCCGGCTCTAATTACAATTGTCGATCCTAAATACCACGCATACTTTCAGTTCATCATATTTTGACTGTCTCATCAATGCACAAAAAGGACGGGAGACCAGAATGTTGAACTGACCCACCGAGGATAGATGTGTACAGCCAAACTCCCTGAAGGATCATCACAGGCAAAATACAATGATACAGTGACTGGAATGAGTTTTCATTGCGAGAAGATCTCAGTACCTTGAGAGGCTACTTCAACCAAGTTGTACTCACCCACATCGAGCGAGGTGCCATAGGTGATTTCGGCTCAAGAAGCGTGGAACCTGCTATGTGTATTTGAACGTCCGAAGACTTAACCGTCGCGGGCGACGTTAGATATGGGTGTACTGTGTGGTTGTGTTTACAGCCACACCAGCACAGGCACAATACTCGCGGTTAAACTGGACACTCTGATATCAACGGACATTTACATTGAGTGGGAATCGTATTTGGAAATTTCTAAGGTACCTGTCCGTCGAGTATCTCCGCAAATCGGGTCTGTTGAAATGATGACCCAGCTTGGGTCATCATTGGCCGGTGCTCAACATGAGCAAGTGGCGCCGTATTGCTCAGATAAGCAGTCGTTGCAGATACCCTCCCGGGTGGGATTATTGGCCACAACTTGTTCTGACTGAAGCTATTGTGAATTTGACTTGGAAATTGGGCCCAGGCTAGCAAAGGACGGTGTATGTCCCATCGCGGGCGTCATCTATAACTTCCCTCGTCGTCCCAATAGGACATTTCTGAACAATGACTGCACCAATTTTCATGAGCCAAATGGGTTCTTGAACAATAGGCGTTGTAGTTGCCGCGCAGAATTCACCCTCGGAAGGCCCTCACATTCAGGCTAAACAGCGCATTCGGTGTCTTCAAGAGACTCAGGCAAACCTCTCGAGCACCATTCACTGTTCAAATTGTGCCCACGGCAAGTGTTACTCCATTTCGGGCGCCTTCTTGATCCTTTCAAGAAATTGTTGTGCTCTCGTATTCGGCCGATGTGGGACGAGAGACTTCGCAAACGTCTTCATGGGGCGCAAAGTTATAAAAGTCCGCCCAGTTTACGGGTCAATGCATTCGTGGCTTTGTACATCCCGATGTTTGGCCCGTAAGATAGCTTACAGTGGTCTTGGAGTTAAACGGCTACACAGTGGCGGTGCTGGGACAGCTGGTTCAACCAACGTGAGAAGGGCTTTCTAAGCATGAGTGGTGTAATAACAAGTACCAGGCCTAGTGCGTCCTTGCGATCTGTTCAACAAGTCATTGGACTCCGGGCAATCGGTCCAGTAGTTCGTCAGAATTCTGCTATTCGGCCGATTCCTGGGATTGTAACTTAGGTACTCGATGAGATTTTGGGTCGGGATTTTCTGCCTGAAAGCAACGTAACAAAGCCCTAGAACATTCTCCCAACCAGAATTTAGATGAGAGGAGTGGTTATACAACAATTATAGGCGACGCGGCTTCTAGATGTCATATTTTGATTCGAAAGGACCTATTTTACGAGCCAACGGGGCAGTGACATTGTCCAGAGCAGATTTTGCCCCACTAAATAACTCAGAGCGAATTGCGGTTGAGTTCAACAGTGGCTGCACGGTGGCTGTGCGAGGACAGGTAGTTCAACCGACTGTGAAACGGCCTTTTTGAGCATAAGTGGTGGGGCAACCAGTACCAGGCCTAGTGCTCCCATGGGTCCTGTTCAATAAATCATTGGACTCTGGGCAATCGGTTCAGTAGTTCTCCAGAGATTTACTATTCGGTTAGTGCTTGAGATCGCGAAGTTGGGCCCGAATAAAAATTTGGAGTGGAATTTCTTGCCCAAAAGCTGGGTATCTCAGTCATAGAACACTCCTCCAACTGAAATTTGGATAGGGAAAGTGATTGTGCTCAAGTTATAAGTGACGCGGCGATGTGGTGCAATAAGACACTTCGCCGCGTCGGGCCGCGTGCCTCGTATATGCGGTGTGTGGCTTTGAAATGCTTGGAATATAAGTACTTGACTCAGTAGCTTCGAGCCGGTCCACAATTTGGCATAAGGGATTCCTTCCAGCGCTGAACGGCGGCGACACAGTGGCTGTGCTGGGACTGGCTCCCTCGCCAAAGTGTGAAGTGCTCTTTTAACAAGCAGTGGTCCGCCCGCAAGTACAAGGCCTAGTGCGGACATTCGGTCTATCCAAGAAATTACTCGACCTAGGGCAATCGGCCCCGCGGTTTCTCAGAAATTCCCTATTCGGAGGATGTCAGACTGAACATGGGTATGAGCAATAAAATTCGGGATGGCATCTTTCGGCCAAAAACAATGCACAACAGTTTCTGATCATCCACCCGACCAAAATGTTCATGCACAGTGCTTTTGTTCCATGGTCAAATGCGACGCGGCGATGTGTTGCAATGAGATACTTCGCCGCGTCGCGCCGCGCGGCTCGTATACGCTGTATATGAGTTTCCAAAGCTTATGCTGTAGATACTATGTTCATTAGCTCTCAGCCGGCCCCCAATTGGACATGTGTCATTGCTAGCAGCGAGTGGTTAAGTTCAACGGCGGCGGGACAGTGGCTGTGCTGGGACAGCTGGTTCAACACACTATGAGAAGGGCCTTCTGAGTATGGTTGGTGCGACGGTGACTAAGAGGCCTAGTGCTTCCCTTTACCTTGTTCAATAAATCATCGGACTCCAAGAAATCGGTCAAGTGATTCTTCAGAAATTCACTATTCGGTCGATGACTGGGAATACAACGTGGGTACCGAGTGAGAATTTGGGTTGGAGTTTTCTGCCTGAAAACAATCTATCACAGTTATAAAACATTCCCCCAACTGGAATTTTGATGGACAGAGTGTTTGTTCGAAAGTTAGAGGTGACGCGGCGATGTGGCGCAATGAGACACTTCGCCGCGTCGCGCCGCGCGGCTCCTGTATTCAATATTTCACTTGATAGCGGCGAGTTTGGGTGTCAGTAGGTCGGTGGCCTTGTCCACGCCATTTTTTAACCCCTGAAATAGCTCAGAGCGAGTGTTGGTTGAGTTCAACGGCGGCGGCACGGTGGCTGTGCTGGAACAGCTAGTTCAACCGACTGTTAGAAGGCCTTTTTGAGCATGAGTGGTGCGACAACAAGTATCAGGCCTAGTGCGTCCTTTCAATCTGCTCAATAATCATCGGACTCCAGACAATCGGTCCAGTAGTACTTGAGAAATTTACTATTCGGTCGATGACAGGGATCGCAACTTGTATACCTGATGAAAATTTGGGGTAGGTTTTCTTGCCTGAAAACAGTGTATCACAGTTGTAAAATGTGCCCTCAACTGGAATTTGGATGGATAGAGTGGTTGCGCCGAGGTTATAGGTGACGCGGCGAAGTGTCTGATGACCGCGTCGCGCCGCGCGCCTCGTACATGCCATATACGACTTTCCAAAGCTTATACTTTCGATTATTAGCTCAATAGCTTTGAGCTGGCCCACAATTTGGCCCATAAAATTGGCGGCAGCTGGGGGTTGAGTTCAACAGCGGCCGTACAGTGGCTGTGCTAGGGCAGCGTGGAACATAACCAACAACGTTGGACCCCACAGAATGAGATTTCTGAGAATAGATTGAGAATACATCGGTCTCGATTATACCAATGGTCCCAACAATTTACCGGCGGCTGACAGCTTCTCTTCCCGCTATTGACACGGCGCGGCGTTGAGACACTTCGCCGCGTCGAGCATAATTTACCCGCCGCTCATCGCCGCGTCGACGACCACAGGCGCTGCGTCCTCAAGGTGACGGGCCGCGTCCGATTGTGCACGCGCCGCGTCCGAGACGTTGAGGCGCCGCATACTGCCGCGTCGTGCGGCGGTGTCGCCGCGTCATATGGGTGGGACGCGGCGAAGTCGTAGCCACTTCGCCGCGTACCGCCGCGCCACTACTGCACCACCGCCGCATCACCGCCGCGCCAACTTTTCTTTCGACGGCGATAACTTCCCTCTGAGTGCCGCTACTCCCACTGATTCCTGCGCCATCCCCTGCGCCTTCATTGTGTCTCCATACTCCACTGTTACACTGTGGGGATGTGGCTCCTGTTTGAGGAGAACGGCGCGGTTCAAAATTTGAACCGCCGCGTCACCGCCGCGTCCCTACCGCGTCGCCGCCGCGGCAACCCTG